CCCAAGGTTGAGGAACCCTGGCTTAGAAGACTCATGCGCAAATCTAAACAATCCTCTGGGTCAAAAATTGTGGAACTTTCATATTCCTGTAATTGTTGCTATGACTGAACCCGTTTACCTACATGTGGAGGTGACGGGGAAGAAGCCGGTGCTGGTAAACGGTACCACTTCAAACTGCATTTGTGGAAGCAGTTCCTGTTTACCAAATTGTTCGGCATGAAAAAAAAAAGAAAATCTCAGGAAGAAAGCCCTAGGAAAGTGTGAGAATAAGAACAAGAATGTGTGTATCCGTAAGAAATATTTTTCCCCATTTGCAGTTGGAATGATAGTCGCCCTTCCTTACTACCTGTTGTGATTGCATAAGATGAAGTTGCTCAAGTCCTGGAAGACGGGTCTATCCAAGAAAATTAATTGTAATGGTTTAAATGAACTTCCACGTCTAGAAGCAGCCTATCTGTCAATAACAGGTGCTGTGGGCAGACAGGGAAGGAGGACTCTTACCTCCGTGCCTTGTTCGTGGTGGCTTTTCCAGAAATACTTTAATTATGGCAAAGGGTGCAACAGTACATTGCTCCCGGAAGAAGCTCATAGAATAACTAGTGAAATCCTTTAACAAGGATCTGGCCAGTAACTGTGTCATTTTTCTTTTAAAACTACTATAGAAAAGTGCATGAGTTCAAAGCATTTTACATCTGAAATTGCACGAACCTTTGCAACAATCCTATAAGATAAAAGATAAAAACGCTGTGGTGTAGTGAGTGCAACTCTTGTCAAATTCATGGGCACCACCATGTAGTTTTCTCTGCAGGACCATCTTTTCTTTTTCTTTTTCACTTTGCAAACTAGCCAACAGACCTGAGATGTTCTGATGGTTACCCATCCAAGCATCAACCTGGCCCAGCCCCATTTAGCTGCTGAGCCCCAGACAAGATTTGCAAGATCCCGGCCAACCTTATAATTGTGCGTGTGAGTCGTGGTTTAGTGATAAAGCACACAGAAAGTTTGCATTAAAAAAAAAAGTGGGTTTCATTGTATCTAGGCAGGTCTGGGAATAACCCCAATAGGAAACCTTGAGAGTCGTAGGCTGTATTTGTAGAACACAGTCCGTTTTTTCGGTTGGGATGCTGTGCAAACTCAGCTCATCTGGCTAGTTTATGATTCGGTGTATTGTGCAAGTCCCAACATGGGTGAATTCATTAACCAGGTTAAGAGTGTTGTGTGAAAGCAAGGGAGCAGAGCCTTCCATATCCCAGATTATGGTCATTAAAGACCAACCTATCCAGAGGTTGCTTGTTATCTGCCTGTGGTTATCTACTGCAGTGTTTCTCAACCTTAGCAACTTTAAGATGTGGGGGCTTTCAATCCCCACAATTCACCCAACCCCCCCCCCAGGGGGGGGGGGGGTCGGGGGCTGGTGTCTTCCCACCAATTGGTGGG